TTCTTCTTTATTTTTCAAAATCAAAAATTCATTTTTTTAATGCTTTTCTTTTTTTATTTCAAAAATAGGGTGCGAAAAGTTTTTCGTGCAATGGCCCATGTTGAACAATTAACTTTAATTATTTTTTATTAACAAATTTCTTGAACCCTATCACATCAATCTTGGGATGATTAGCTATGTCACCTAGGAAAGCCTGGAAAGCCTTTGACAACCACCTTGAATTTGCACTTCTATCTTGGTGACCAAGGGTATTCATGTGGCTCACCTTTAATTGACTTAATTTGAAGTGTAGTAGTGCTACCACTTCACAAACCAGCATATACCCTCCATTCACACTCTTTATTACATGTTACTATGGCCTTATCTTTGTCAATTTTTTTAAAAAAATTTAACCTGAAAGCCATGCTTTATAGAGACTGCCCTAATTGCAACTCTAAAGTCATATACGTTGGCGAACACCTGTCCAACCACCAATTTAGGACTCTCCATATTTTTTTGATATTAAATTCTGAAAATTCTCCATATTTTTATAGAGAACACGCTAATTGCACCTCCAAAGTCATATATGTTGGTGAAAACTTGCCCAACCACCAATTTAGGATTCTCCACATTTTTTTAATATTAAATTATGAAAATTCCTCGTCCATTTGCTCCTCCTCGGATGAGTCATAAGCCGTTTTCAACACATCATCTTTGACATTCTCATCCTCAATCATTTTCCCTTTCCCTTTTGACTGAATATATTGATCATATTCATCACCAATCAATTGTCCATATTTAATATAATCTAATTCCTAAAACTGACCACCCCTGCATTTACCTCTTCATCATCTATAGGATCACATGCATCACTTAACACATCTCCATCTAAAAATAATTCAAAATCAAATCTAGTTTAGAATCACTTGGCTCATTCTCACCATCTTCACCCCTATATGCAGCATTTGAACTATCACTATCATCCACCTCATTAACTAAATTTTCCACAACAGAATTATCATTTTGTTGCCCAAAATTATCAGCAACAAGGAGCTCATTAGCGTCACTAACTATTAAAAGCAGTTCACCTACATAAAGATCTATGGTACTATAATTTTTGCTCACTTCAAACATTTGTAGCACAATCTGGTCACTATTCACCAATACTAGCCCGACCTCTAAATCAATACCACGTACCCTATAATACATAGGGAGCTATTCGGCAATAACCAAACTTCTCAAACCATCCTTTAACTCAAATAGTAAATATACATCAGGGTCAACATCCTCAACTTAACTACTTTCCTACCCACATACTCCAACACTGGGTCCCTAACAAAATGGCCTCCATGATGCACCTCTAATACATATGTTTGGAAAGCCATTATTCTACTAAAAAAATGCATAGAGATATTCAATTCTAGTCCCAAGAATTATAATTCCAAGTCAAAAAAATTTGCTCTACTATCAACATGAAGACAAGCCCAAAAAAAAAAACAATTTTTAGCTAAATGCTATAGGTTAAGAAATAGTAGCACTAGTTCACAACTTAATACGAAAAAAAAAACCTAGAAAGTGACATATAGAATGAAAAATTAATTCCAAAATTAAATAAATGGACAATTTTTCAGTTACCATCCATTGTTTTTAGTAAAAAAAATTCACAAATAGTTTGCCAGCATAAAGCATGACAGCTCTGGACCACATCCTCAAAGAAGAAAGACTGTCGGCCAAATTGACTGTGCCATAATATGAAACCACAAAAAAAAAAAAAAAAATTGCCTTTTTGATACAATACATGTTCCACTAATGTCTGTACTAACCTCCAAATTGATTGAATGATTTCCTTCCAAAACCTATGATCTTTCAGTAGCAAACATCTAAGTTAGCAAAATCGACGCTTTTCTTGTTGCGTTAGATGGCCTCCATCCACTAGATTTTCAATCCTTCTGACGGTGAGATCTCAATTAGGGTTTGGTTAAAGAAGATTTGGAAGGAGAAAAGGGAAGGTCGCAAGGGTTTTTTTTTCCTTTGCAATTGTCTTGTTTTTCTTTGCAAAATACACCAACAAGAGCTGGCTTTTTCCCTGTAGGAAGGTTATTTTTGAAAAAAAATATAACCCAACCCAAATTCGTAGGCAATTTTGTCTATCCATTTCTTTTACTAAGGATACTATTATCATTTAGCTTTTAACCATCAATGCTGTTACTACTTCAATGTTTTGACTACCAGACAAGGGAATAAAGTGCCAAAAAGATAATGTTATGGGGTAAAGTGAAAAACACCACATAACTTAGGGGGAGTTTTCGTGATTTTTCCTTAATCCGGCAATGCACTCCTAGGACATTCTCTCTCTCTCTCTAAATAGGGGGGCTGATTTCATAGATGGAATTTCTCTTCACAACAAATTTTGAGAGAAATGTTATTTATACTCCATATTTTGTTAATTGTATTCCCACAATTTGTCCTATTATATAGTCAAATAAATAAAAACTATATGGTAAAAATGATAGTGGAAGTGTGATTAATAAAATGAGAGTGTAAATAACATTTGTCAATTTTAATTATTTTGATGCTCAATTTTTCTCCCATATTTCTATTCATTATGTACCAAAATAATTTGATACTATGTGTTCAACTAAGTTTCAAAGGGGCATAGGTTGTACTTTGCATAACCGAGATACCACTAGTTTATAGTTTATATAGATATGGAAGAGTCATTCCTGAGGTGATTAATTAATACAAATTATTTTTCCTATTAATAAGCAGTTATTTAAAAGTAGCAAATGGAAATGTAGAAAGATAGCCAATTCGTCCTATAGTCAAGGATTTATTATATGATGTAGGGTTCTTCTGACGGTATCAAATAGGAACTTTGTAACACATGTAAATTTCATCCAATCTACTCTGTATATACACGCACTAACAATTATTAGTTTATTACCCTCTCTTACATTTATACATTTTCCTAATTAACCTTACTTTTCCAAAAATCTAATACCTGAAATATATCTTAACAAGTACAATAATAGGATGTATTAGCCAACAATAATTTTGAATGGTTCAGTTTGGAGCATAAGTTTAAACATTAATTTCTCTGATATGATACCCAAAAAAAATGTACTTAACTATGATTATATTGATCACAAATCTTTATCCCAACTTTTTCTCGTGTAAGAGTTATATTATAACTTTATCTTAGCCTGCATTTACCAAATAGAATATGAGGTAGCTCACCCTAAAATTTATCATATTTCACTATTATTAATTTTTTAAAGTCAAATACAGGTTAAATTTATAATCTCATAATAGCTTGATCTTCCTAAATAATATTTGGACGAGTATTTTTCCCTTCTCTGAAAAGCCTAAGCATTTTCTAGAGGCCATCTTTCTCATGGATCTTCGTGACAATTTCCATTGATCAAAAAAACCTATTGACCTTGTTTGGATTGTAATTTTTTTCAAAACATTTTTACATGTTCGGTGAACATGTTTCTCAATCACCTTTTTACGTTACATACATCAAATCGTTACAGTATATTTTTAAAAAAAAAATCCATAAAATAGCAATCCTAACATGTTTTGAAGGACTTTATATCATTAACAAGACAAAGGCCAAGACCAAAAAATTTAAAAAAAAAAAAAAATCAAGTTGCAAATATAATACGACAAGTCTGAATTTTTTTAAAATTTGCTCCTAAGTTTATATTTCTGCGTTGCATATGGCATATATTAACAACTACTTATTCTGCATCTACATCTTTATCCAACGATGTGAAGAATCAACCTATGGACCCTTTTGCTTTAATGAGAAAATTTATTCTACCAAGTTTCCTTTTATTTCTTAACCACCTTCCGTACTTCTTGTAATTCATTGAATGAATAAGATTGCATAAATAAGGGAGAGATCGATCTATCCATCCATCTACACCTTCTACCCACTTAAGAAACCAAGAATTGAAGAAACCAAGTTCAATATGCATGATATCTTTGAAAAGATAACGACAATTACTGATGGTTATAATTACGTGATGTTAGCCTATTAGGTGGACATACCCAACAACCAATTTTATTTATTTCTTTGTCATTCAATGGGCTAATGTTTTTCCCCTTTTTCTTTTCCATTCTCCAGATGAGCGTGCCCTACAAATTTATACCTTTTCCTCTTGGAAGTTAATTGTCACATCAAAAACCTTGGACAGGATTCAGGACCATGCTTTCTCTAACTAGCCACTTCTATATTCAAAACACCATATCTAGGGGTTAAACCAGTGTGTTTTTTCAGAACTGTCAAGATTAAGAGCGCAAATCTTAATAAATGCTTGTCTTTATTTGACTATCAACATCAGAACAACATTGTCCTTGGTATTTTGTCCATTATTATTTCGGTAAATAAACCTCAAACTCATCAAAATGCCTATAAGAAAGCCTCATCATGATACCTTTAGGCTTAGGTTATCCGTATCATTTTACTCTATACTGCCAGAAGAAGCCTACTCCCAGATTGAAGTTACACAAAAAATGCCTAAAAGGCAAAAAAATTGTAGGGAAAACACATATAAGCTCAAGATGATGCACAATAGTTGACTTAGATCCTATTTCATTATTCAATTCAAAACTTAAATTTAATAGATTCGAACCTTAATATGTTCAAATATAATTAATAATAAAAAAAATAAAACGTTTAAATTAATTAATTGACTTTATATTGTTTAGAAAAAATTTACTCAAAGCAACACGTGATAAATTGTTGATTTATCATTTAATGTAGAATACGTTCAAATATTAACATTTCAGTACTTTAACGATTTGGTAACTTAACAATTTCTAATTTCAGACTTCAATTTATCAAATGCACCCTTAAATACCTTGATTCCCACCAACTACCTCTGACTACATATTTCCATGACTCAAAAGGACAACATTCTAGGTCGAATATGACACTTAACGTCTGCATATAAACAGAAAGTGAAACGAGAAAACTTCTTAACAGCTACAGAATGGTAGCTAAATCAACGAGGAGAAAGAGATTAGGAGCAAAAAGGCAATGTTATACACTTGGTATTACAAAGGTACAATTTATGTGGAAGAGAGATCATACACGATACAGCATTGATACATATTCTCATGGGCCTGTCACCTCTGTGACTTTGACCTGGAAATGCATGTTGCTGCTGAAATTTTCATCAACTATTTACATGCAGATAACAACATATATCCACTTAATTGTGAAGCATGCCTTTTTTGGCATTGCTCCCACTAGCAAAGCTCCTCCATCTTGTGGTGCCTATTTGCAATAGTCATACACAGATTTTGTCGTTCAAAATTTCATCCCTGGAGGTGACTTCTTGGTATATTAAAACCCTCCAGTTTGTGTCTACGCATACAACACAAGAGGTAGAAACAGCAGGGCAGCCCACAAATTGCAGAATGTGATGCTGGCAGATGCTGCAAAAGAAGAGTAATAAATATTCTGATGCATCATAAATTACAAGTAAAAATACTGTATGAGACAAAAAGTGGAATATGCTTGGTCATATTTAAGTCAGACAATGACAGAAGAAGTACAAAGCAAAATGCAAAATGTCAGTGTCAGTAGGAAAGAGAGGAAGAAGTTGATGCAGGTAATGGAAGAAAGATGCAAGATCAAAGGGGATCTAAGCACCCAGAAAATGGCAAAATGTCTAATAACCACTTATGAAATATAGAAGGAAAAAAACAAAGTCAGATAATTGCATTCAAGTTTTAAAAACCCTTTCAGGTCATGCAACTACAGACTGTTCTTTTATCTGTCACTATAGAACAGCAGTCACCACAGATGAAGTGCAAAGTAACTATTAGCTTTGGTGTAAAGCAAACTATTGTTATGAAAGTGTACTCACATGAAGATGGTGAGGGTGAAACTGAAGGTGTAATATCAGGAGGTTCAGCATCAAATTCTCTCCCTGACGGAGGCCTAGCATGAGCAAAAACTACATTTGGCAGTGGGCTTGATGAAGGGACTTGAGGCACGGTTGGTGTAGGAGGATCTATTTGCTGCTGGGGTGAGGGAGCGCTAACTGGTGCCAAAATTGGTGGTGAAATGGGGGTTTGCCGATTCCCATTCCTCGGGTGTCTATTCTTATGCCCAAAGCGGCAACCAGGAGGCTCCACTTTATGATGCAATCCTTGTGTGGGAGTAGGAGCAGCCAGTGGTGTGGATTGTGGTGCACCTTTACGGTTGATGGATCCACTATTCTCATTTCTTGGTGCAGGCGCAACAGTCGGAGAATAATTGGTACCAGGATGATGGTGGTGGTGGTGGTGATGGTGATGGTGATGATGGGGTTGAGGAACAGGAGCTGGAGACGGTGACCCAGTGCCACCAGGAGGGAGTACAGATGAAAGACGAACTTGTTTAACCCTTCCAAACACAGTGTTGTTCAGACCTAGATTTTCTTCATGAGATCCAGTTATTGTTTGAGTCAACTGCTTGAACCTTGACTTTGAGGGGTTAATGCCCACAGCCAGCAAAACTCGGCACTGGACTATAGTTGGGGGGACCACAGTTGAACCCCTCAGATTAGTCAAGCTTATATACAAATTCTGCACCAACAAAAAGATGCAGGGCAAACTTCTCATCAGTAAATAGCTACATACCCATTGCTAGCACATCTAATATATAAAATATGTATATAAAACTTTATCTACCCCCCCCCCCTTCTTTGTTTACTTTTTCTCCCATTTTCATGGAGACTAAATTGATTTACATATAAAGTTGGTAAATAAGTTCAATCAACCACACTCAAAAAGGCACCTCATAGGAATTATATTAAACGTCTTTAGCGCCAAAAGTGCAAAATTAGATATCTTCATGCCTGTATAAAGACAGATTACAAGCAGAAGATGTAAACTTCCAGCAAAGAAAGCCATGAGAAAAATCAGAATACAACCAACCACTGAACCATTCCATTGGTAGCAATAAAAGCAATTGTCAATGTGAATAGAAGTATTACTAACACTGCATTTACAGTTTGAATTTCAACAATGCTGACAATACTTGAAATGCCCAACAAGATACCAATGAAGCAATCATAGTAAATGTTTCAAGTGTAAAGCCATTTGGTCTATCAGGCTTTCCTTCATGGTACAGATTGAAATGGTGAAAACATTTTCTATTCTGATTCAACACAAAGGACATTGTTTTCTTTGATACTCCTGTTCCTTATATTAGTTCTCTCTGCACTGCCATTTTGGACCTGTAAATCTCTGCAGTGCATCAGGTTTGCCAACACATTTCTAGTGTAACTTGATTAAGTACTTTCACTAACCCTTTACTAGAGTAAGAAATCTTTTCTTTCTTTTCATACTTTCATGAGGCCATCAGTATCAAAAGGGTCAATTACACCACAAAGTTTGAGATTTCAAAGGAGCAAACTATATATTTTAGGTTACCTTGCCATTCCTTATCCATTTCTATTATAAAAATGCTTTTGTAGTCCATGACAGAAGCATTGAAGGGAGTCACCTGACCATAATAAGTTTCATTTATATCCATTCAATTTAGTTGCTTAAGCTCTCTGGCAAGTTTTACCTTGGTCAATGACCAACTATTGGGCTTGTCAATGACCAACTATTGAGCAAGCCTAATAGTTGGTCATTGACCAATCAGAAAACTGCAAATAAGATTAAAGGACCACCATTTTCCACATCATATATTTAATCAATTTTCATTACTCCTGATTTCACCAATGATTTTAAACAGAAAGCTAACATCCATTCTACCAACATCATTTGACTACAAGATCTCCAACTGCCACAGGGTTTTAGTTTTCTTGTTATCATTTCCTTCAGTTATTACATATAGCAATATTAAAAATAAGAAGGAAAAAATAAATCTCCAAATCCCTATTTCCTATCCTCTCAATTCTCCAAAAGCAACTAACTCCACCACTCCCATTTCTCATACACAAATCTGCAGACTGGAAGAACTAATCACTGAAAAGATATGTTGGAACAGGATTGCAACAATCAAACTCTCTAGAAACTTTTAGTCTGTGAAAGGGTTTTTAGTTTGAACATGAGATATCCTTTCTTGTTGGATTGTTTTATGTAATTTTTTCAGAAGGTATTCACAGACCCTTGGGCTTTTTGCCAAGTTCTGTGGCATAGGCTTATCTATTGATTTTCTGGTGAAGTTGTGGTTCTAATACTTATTTGTTCCAAGTTAATGAGTTATTTGCTCTACATTGAGTTATTCATAGTGCTGTTTGTTGGTAAATATCCAGGACAAATTGCCAAGATAACTAAATATTGGGCCCATTGCCTGTTCAATAAATTGCATAAAAAAGAATAGCTTCAGTATGCTAAAACATCAAACAACTCAGTCTGTCTTGATCCCATTTTTATGTTCCTTATGATCATTAACCTTGGGTTGACTTAAAATTTGACAGTTGGAATCATTAATTATCTAATTGGCAAGTTGCCATTGGTAATTGAGCAACTTATAGGATTTCCACTAAGTTGCTCATTAATCATGATAAAGCTTGCCACATGGTTCACAAGGAAGTCTTCACAATAAACAAATAACAGAAGGAAGGATAAAAGTGGGGTTAAGTCCACACCTGGGGAAAATATGGGTGTGGATTTAGCCCCTCAAATGGCTGAGGATTAGAGAATTACAGTTCACCTCACAAATACCCTTACTCCTACCCTCCTAATGTATGAAATATACTTAAAAAAGCAAACTTAAGGAATGCTATTGTTACTACAAATACCCTCCTAATATATGAAAACTACTTAATAGAGTATGTATGGTAACAAAAAGCATGAAATTATGTGAGATTTTAGCTTATCATTTTGTCTGCCCTGTCACTCTCATTTGTCAACATCGAACGTGTGGACATATGAGAACTTCCTCAGGACTTTACTTGCCTAATAAATATAAATCTACATTTGTGAACATGTCCTGGTGCTAAAGTATTTTGAGCTACAATTCACTTTTCCAATTTTCAGAACAAATTGTCAACAAATTCAAATTTTGATCAATTTAGCTCAGTCCGATTTGGTACATTTTACCTCCAATTATTTTCTTTTCCATAGATTATATCAACTATACTGCAATTTAGTTTGTTCGCATGCGCAGCTCTAAGACCCTATATCTTTTCATATCATTCGGTAATAGCAATGGCTTTTTTAACCAAGGTGACAAAATTCTTTCAAAAAATATTAAACATAGAAAAGAGATCCATCAACAGATAAAGGAACAATAGCAACAACCAGATTAAGGCATAAGAAAAAGATTAAAGAGGAAACAACAAAATTTGAGAATCATCACCAACCTCATATGGAGCAAGATGCAATCCTAACTTCAATTGCCTTCTCAGTTCGTCGAAATTATTTTGAAGTTGTTCAATAGAGAAGTTCAAGGTAAAATTGAAGAGGATCTGCACTTTTTGCATGAGGAATGCACTCTGTTGAGGACTAACTGTAATCCCTCCAAAGAATTTCAGAACCTCAAAAGAATAAGGGTGCCCGAACAAGGATGCAGTCAGACCAAGAGGAGATTGATGTATTAAGATAGATACAAAAGTAGCCCTGATTAAACTTTGAGTTGTCACATCAGAATCAACTGCAAAGACAACTTTTGTTGTATTTGGTCCAGCAGAAGGTTCTAATTTTAGTACTTCCACCTAGCATAAGTAAACAATAAGAATGAATAAGAACAGATTCAAACAAATGGTAAGGAAGGAAAAACATATCAAGCGAAATAAGACAGCAGTAAGAAGAAGAGTAGCAAGGCATACTTTAGTGGTGAGAAAGCTAATTTCCTCAAAAATATCATCCTCAAGTTGCAAGACATAGTCTTCCAAAAATGAAGCCGGTTTATCGACCATAAAGCTTGCTACTATTGCATGACCTGGTAAACATGCAGCATGAGATGAAATACATATATAACACAGTACACAGGAAAGCATATTCCTAAGATGAAAAATCATGATTTATATGCATACAGCATCAAGAATACAAAACTTAATGAGCGATACAGAAGACAACAAATTTTAACAGCTCAAATCAAAACTAGACCCGAAGTATGCCAAACCAGCTATAGCCAGTTCATTCTCCACTTTCATGTATCTTTTTCGTTGCTTTCTTCAATTTTTGTTCAATCATACTAGCACATGACAAAGATGCAAACTTGTGGATACTGCTAGTCTGGCAGCCAACACAGTGACTCTTGCTATATAGATGAGATAAGAACATATAAACCAAAGGTAACCATAAATGTCAAACCCAAAATTTTGCCTCCTCATTTTCAAGCTATTGCTTCCTTCCGTTTCTTGAAAGCATACCTTACGCCCCTGGTTGTCATTCTGATCCATGTAGTTTGACCAACCACACTAGCCTTTACAGGGTCATAAAGTTAACAAAACCTCCTGTTCTTCCTTCTTAACTTGATTTCCTTGTGCATTTAAGCAATATAATTGCAGAATTCGTCTTCACTCCAACCAAATGCGACAGAATGCAACATTTTGCCAAATCATTCTATTTCACTAACACACAATGCATGCTAAAAGTCTTGAGCAATTGACATTCTGACTCAATTTGACCATTCAGAATACTTGTCCATGGCATGTCCTCATATAGACATCAATAAGGCGCGCAAAAAGGGCAGTTTAATACAGCAGAACAATGCCATTAACGGCAGCTACAATATGATAAAATGGTCCCCCAAATCTGCCGAATCTCACATATCAAATTTTCATCAGACTTATTTAAGATGCATATAATCAGAACAAGACATTTAACAAGTTAATCCAAATGGCAGAAATCAGATACTTCCCTCAACTTTAAACACTAAAGTTCCTAAAATTTACAGCAATAACTGCATGTTTCTCTGAAAGCCCATTTGAAACCACATCCAAACATCGTCGTCCGACAATAGTATCACTAAATCTCAATTTTCACTGGGTCCCAAATTAACTAGCCCTTTCCTGAGAGTATACCCAAAATAAGTAGAAAGAAAAACGAAGCAGATTAAAAGAGAGAACTGACATTTATCAAGTTAGAAATTCCCTTAACAAATGCAGAATAAAAGAAGAAAAAAAAATTCTCTGAAATTTAGCATAAACTTAATTTCTAAAAAGAGAAGAAATCATTTTCACAGCGATACAAGCCCCAATCCAAAATGCACCTTATAGAAAGTGCAAACAAATTTCTAGCATTAGATAATGGAGAACTCAAATCCCACCCCCTTCCCCGGTCCGCCCACAAAAAAACCCCAAAGGAGGAAGAATAGCCAAAAATCCAAAAGCAGATCTACTTGCAATCCACAATGTTGAAGAGCTCAACTTAAAAAACCAAGAAAAGGGTGTTCAAAAATCAAGAAAAGGCAGAATTTTGTCACCTCCAAACTCAGAATCCAGATCCAGATCCTTCTGATCTCCATAATGGAAAAATGGCAACAAAAAGAAAGCAGAGAGCAAGACTCCTAATCCAAGCACCAAAGCAAACACACATCTAAAACTCACAACCCTCTTCAACCTCCTGCTCCTGTTCCAGCAGCAGAAGCAGCACGCTCTCCTATCACTATTTCCTACATTATTCTGCTCATCAATTCTTCTTTGAGCTTCATCCACAATTGAGCCTGGTAAAGGCTGCTCATCCTCTGCCTTCCCCATTGGGAACAGTAATAGCAATGTGGTTTCCTATTTTTTCTCTTTTTTTCTTAGTCTCCATTGCTGTTGTGGTTTGGTAAGAGCTCAGAACCCTCCATTATTCTCTCCTCTCTTCCTTTCTTTCACCTTCTTGTTCTTGGTCTCTTCTCTTCCGTTTCAAGAGAGAAAAAGGGTCTCCTTTTTTTTTTCCTATTTTCCTTTTTTCTGGTGATGATGGAGAAATAATTTAAGTATTCTTTAGGGTTGGGTTGGGTTGGGTTGAGCGGATGATGGGATGGAATGGAAGGGGAGGAGTAACTTCTGCTGTCTGCAAAATCAACTACTTGTAGTGGATTTCTTTCTTTCTTTCTTTCTTTTTTGCTTGCAAAAGGGAAAGTGTTTTTGTTGTCTTGTGATTTCAAATTGGAATGAAGGTTTTTTAAGTGGTGAATGCTGATTAGTTTAAAGATTTGCTTTTGGATTTTGCTTTAAATTCGTAGAGATAAGGCAGCTCTTACTAGTCTCCACTCTAGTCAACAAGTTATTGCTCATAGCCAAAGAACACTAGTGGTACTTGTACTAGTAGCTAGTCACATGAATGCAACATAAATTATAATGAGGTTGCATAATTGTATTATTACGAGTAAAATACTAAAAAACCGAGTTGTGATTTGTCAAATATATAATTTAACTCTCTCTGATTTAAAAATATATACTATAACTTTACGTAATTTCAACTAAATTAAAAATTTAACGGAAAGCATACAATCTAATGGTTATACATGAAATGTCAATAATGTTCTTATATAAATTAACTCTATGTGATTTATCGAATGTTCAATTTAACTTCCTCTAGTTTGAAAAATTGAGCTATAATTTTCTGTGATTTCGATTAAATTGAAAATTGAACGGAAAACACTTTACGTATAGTAAGGGCAATATTGATATTTCATGTACAACTATTAGATTAAATGCTTTCCATCCAATTTTTAGTTTAGTCGAAACCATATGGAATTAGTAGGTTTCCAAACCAAAGATAGTTTAATTGAATATTTTGCAAACCACTGAGAGTTTTTTTTTTTTTGTATTTTACCCTATTATTAATGTTTTACAAAATTAATGAAAGTAACTTGTTCCAAAAATTTCCCTTTTTTTTCAAATTCATGAATGCTAAAAATGTTGTTTGGAAAAAGGCCATTAATAGTTTTTTATGTTGGATAAAGTTTGTGTATACACAAGTAGAGCTAAATTTATAATAACTAATGGATTAACTTTTTATGCAATAATAGTACAATAGTTATTTTACACTAGCAGTTTTGAATGTATGTCACATGTACTTGATTTGAATTTCAAATTTGAATTCATTTACGTGGTATAATCTAAAACTACTAGTATAAAAAAAATTTATATGCTGACAATGTATAAAAGAATTATACATAAGTACATAACTAACTACTATTTGAATTTAAATTTTATGTTTTACACATGCGACATATATTTAATCTTGTTGTGTATATATTGTCAGTATAAACAAAATTTATCCTTTTATGTGATTGAAGTATATTGGTTTATGAGTAGACCTTTTTGTGAGAATAATAGAAGGAATAGATAGAAAATAATTTCATTCAATAAATTTGCACCAATGGCATAAAATACATCAAACAAACATGATATAGATACATGTAGATTTGAATAAATACAACAAATCTAATAAATCAATTTAAATAAAAATAACATTGATACTCATATATTTTTCATCCAAATGAAGCATTGTAACCAATATGCGTGTGCATTTTTTTTTTTTTTTTGGTCAAACAATGTTTGCATGTCTTTTGACAGTTAGACTTGATTTAAACTAGTTCAAGCCTAAAGAGAATTTTATATTTGACAATAATGGAGAAATTGCAGATCTGAAAAATTAGATTCTAAATTTACAAAATCTCAATTTTCAAATTTCACAAAAAAATTGAAAACTAAAAAAAAAAACTCTCATAAAAAAGGTTCACGAGACTCTTACTAGAACATTAAGAAACTCTCACTAAGAGATCTTAGGAGAGAAAAATCTCTCATTAGAAAACCCTAAGAGAAAATTTATTCGAATAAGAGAAATTAAAAATTAGAGAGAGTGTCCCTCCCATGAGAAAAGACCAATGAGAGAGATGAAGGAGATTTTGACTCCAAAAATTCTAGAGAGAAGGGAAGGAAAACAATTCTAGAGAGAAGAAGGAGAAGACTGGAATAGATAACTGCACATAAATGTAAATAGTCTAAATTTTTTTTTATCCCAAATCACAATTTTAAATGCAGTAACATAGAAGAAAAGATTATTAACGAAAAAGCTATTTTTTAAAAAAAAATTTGGGTGGTTTTGGGGTAATTACATTGGAGGGTACAAAGGAAACATGCGATTAAGAAGCCAACTCGCACAATAACAGCGTTGTTATTGGGTGGGTAAGTCCTCTGACTCTCATATCAAACGTTTTAATACTAAAACTAGTACTATATTAATCTCAGAGGGTCAACTCTCTCAAAGTGGAAAATGATGAGTATCCGAAATATGTATTACCCGAAATATGCAAACGTTTTAATACTAAAATTAGTATTAATCTTTGAGAGTCAACTCTCTCAAATCTCAATGTGGAAAATGATGATTATCCAAAATGGAAAAGGAAATTAATGAAGGTTAAAAGAAAAGAGAACATATGATAATTGAAATTTTAAGAAATTTGTCAGTTCTCTTTCTTTTGTGTAAAATCAACTACTTACAAAAGTAACTAGATTTCATGCCCATCTTACGCACAATATCACAATGTACGAATTAAAAACTATCTCGTTTAGATTGTTATTTCCGGAGTTGTTATAGAAAAATATATTGTAATAATTTGATTTGATATATATTAGATAAAAAGATGATTGAGAAATATAATCACAGCAATCATAAAAAATTTTCTTTGATAAACTAAAATCCAAACAAGACTAATTGCTAAAGGATTTCCATAAAAATGTTGGTCGCAAAATATATTATACTGGACATATTGTTTGTATTATTATCATATTGAATCTCTTAATGTAATAGTACATCTCAAACACTGGAGCACATTTACATACAAATTTTAATCCGACGAAAGATGTGTAAATAAAATTCTATATTTTTTGTAGTCTTCATCATATATAGTGTACTTATGACAAAGATTAATACGTATTTTGTTCATCATTTAGAAAAAGAAATAACATTATAAATCTTTTAGATTCTTGTAGGTGTCTAACGCTTACACAAACAATGTATAGACCAAAGGCTCCCTATTAGATTAATTGCGTTTTCATGTATTTAAACACTTCACCAATAAAATGTAACTTTTTAAAAAATTAACTTTTAGAATCGACATTCATTTAATAAACCCTGTCTTTTGCTCTTTAATTCAGTCACATGTTTCATATTCCTTCATTAGAAATTGGAGGTTGTAGTTCAAATCCTCTTTCCTCATCTTCAATTCTTAAAACTCACTCTTTTCTTGCTTTTTAAAAAAAAAAAAAAAGAAGAAGAAGAAGACGAGGACGAAAAAGAAAAGAAAGTCATCAGTGTATGAATGGGAACTGTAAACGCCAAAATTTGTATGATTTATATCTTTATCCCTTATCATTTCACACCAAAATAGGTTTCATTAATTAATTAGATTAATGGATTAATCAAATCCAAGATCTAAGTTATGAGTGACTAATGGAGGATAATGGGATTAAAACCTTTTAGCATTTTTTTAACTCTTCTGAAATGATTCCAATATTAAACAGTAGCTTTTTCTAATGGATGCCATTGTACACTGGATTACACACTTAAATTTGACCTATTATTACATTTCCTTACATTTAAACACTTTCTTTAATCAGTTTAACTTTCCGAAAATCTAATAACTCAAGTACATCTTTCGACACACGTCAAATAGACCTTAAACAATATATGTACAATTGTTTATTTTAATACTCATTTATGACTACACATCTGCTAATGCAACTACACTAGACTTGTTTTTTTTGGTAATCCGAAACATGCCTCCGACCCGAGCCCTTTGGACCCGAGCTGGCACACCAAACCGGAGGGAAGCCGATAGCCCCATTCAACTTTCTCGGACGAGTTAGGATGTACAGCGCAGCGAGCACAGATCGAACCCCGGTCAGTGGAGAACCAACAATTCAAGGCTGACCCCTCAATTGCTGCGCCATATGCCCTAGGGGGAAAAAAAAAACTACCCCAGACTTTTAAATAGGGTTTTAAAATAGTTTAAATTGACTTAAAAAGACGGAAAAAGTTGAAGAATTGAGATGTCTTGAAACAAAGGAATTAAAATTGGGCTTTCAATTATTATTTGTCAAAAATAAATTGCGGCCACAAAGTCCAAGAAAAATGGAAATGGATGGATGAATTTGGTATAAGAACAAAATCAATCAAAAATTATAAAATTATGTAAATTTTTTTTTAATGTAAGTAGAAGGTCTCGAATTTCGAATCTCTCACCTAAACTTCCTCTTCCTATCCAAACCATTCCTCCCTCCCCCTCCCGGAACAAATTGTGTAGAGTGACATCACTAACTATAAATACAGATAAAATCTGTGGTGTTTCTACTAAAACAAAATGAAGTGACTAAAGTTCAATTCATTCAGACTTTAGAAATATTTTTCAAAACTAAAAGAGATACTAATAATTTTTTTAAAAAAAAAACAGATTCCAGCTAAAAGATGTCATATTCATAGTTCTATGTGGCGTAATAAATTTTTTTTCCTTTTCTTTTCTTTTACTTTCTTTTATGTGCATCACATGAGACTGGGATCTGGATAACATTTGTCTGCCAAACTTTTGACCTATTATCATTCCTCTTCCTCATTGAGTTCAACTTGTAATCTTTTAAAAGGAAAAGTGGCAAAAGAACAAAAAGCAACAAAATGCCCCTTTTTTATGTGGGAATTTGGCATAAGAAGGGCAGAAGAGGCCTTTCAACCGTAACAAGCACCACATTCATACCGACAAGTTAATCTTGCAATTAGTACATATCCTGTGACATAGATTTCTTTGTCTCTCTCTTTCTCTGCATCAAATTTCCAACAAATTTAAGAAGATTTTCATAAATTGAGACAGTCTTCCTAAACTAACTATTAGTTACATGCAATAAATCAAAGAAACGGTCCTCTTAAAGAATCAAAATTTAATTTTTTTTCACCGCCCTGCCTACTCTATTCCGTACTAATAATGCTGCCAAATGGTCACTCAATGTGTCTCCACAACAAAATAGAAGATGCAATGGTAAAAATTAAAGGGTTTCTCAATTTTGGGCAAATTCGAC